AGGATGAGTTTGTTTCTTCATCAGGTTTGGAGAAATGCAGCACTGCATCAGTGTCTCAGCAATGGATGCTCTGCAGTGAATGGGTGCCGTCAGAATGAGAGCTGATAACAACATCACAATAATCCCCAGCACTCCAGTCCATCAGTTAGCATCTGGAGAAGACAAAAGCTGAAACTAATCCAGCATTAAGACGTTTGTAATTAAATACAAGTCCATAATCCATAATAACGCTTCCTCCAGTGAAAAAGTCCATCTCCTGTTGTCTCTCACATATGTGTTTAGAGCTGCTTTGGCTTGTAAACGGTGTTTGATCTGTGCAGATTACTCTCCTGATTCAGATCAGACCACTTTTTACAAGACGTTAACTGATGGACTGGAGTGGTGTGGATTATTGTGATGTTTTTATCAGCTGTTTGGACTCTCATTCTGACGGCACCCATTCACTGCAGAGCATCCGTTGCCGAGACACTGATGCAATGCTACATTTCTCCAAACCTGATGAAGAAACAAACTCATCCTAATCTTGGACGGCCCGAGGGTGAGCACATTTTCAGCAAATTTTCATTTTGGGTGAATTATTCCTTTTATACACTTAACTTGTGCATGTATATTTGTTGTACATTATACCAAAGAAAACATGTTTATCTTCATAATCTTTTATCAGAATGTAATGACTTTCCATTCTGACTGAAACTAATAATATAAAGATTAGAGCAATAATATGAACATAAAGCAAGATGTTTAAAGGCCTATTGGGAAACATGGCTGATACTCTGGAAGGTGAACTTGATATTTCATGTTGACTTTAAGGTCAATATTTATGTGTGGTGAACTTTCGCTCACTAAGTGTCACAGCAGTCACTTGCAGATTCACACTTCACTGTAAATGTCTTGCAAATGTGGATCAAATCCAAACCAAAGACACGTTTTGCAAGATTATGCCAAACGCAAACTCTCGAAATATTACAAGTAGCAAAGATTCTGTCAGTGCAGCTTACTGGCACTTTGTGATGTATGAGTTAAATGCTTTAGCAGATTTTGTATATCAAACTCCGGCTGTTTTTGGCTGAGGACACATCTGGTATTTCGGCCCATCTCTATCTCAGAGTATTGAAGAATAAGAAACGATTTATTCTCCGTTCTTTGAGTTTAGTTAAGCACCAGCTGTCTTTTATTGCCCCGGCCCATCCGAGAGCCAAATCCAGACCTGCGTTTCAGAAGAGAGCTGCTATGGATGGTGTGTTTTATGCTTTATGAGTTATGTAATTATTTAGCTCCGCCCTCAGCTTTTCCATTAGCCAGATTCTGCACAGTCTTAAAGAGTATTAGATGCTGGAACGCTAATCTACTCAAAGGTTCAACCGTGTAAAAACTGACTCCAGCAACTGTAATCCACTTTTGAATTTATGAGGTCTGACTCTGGAAAATCATCCTTTATAAGCTCTGTTTGTATTTCAAGTCTTCTGTCGTGTTGCATATTTTAGATGGTGGAAACTCTGCTCTTCGGAGCATGTCTTCTTCTGATGAAACAGCAGCCAAAGTTTTGTTTCTCCTTGCGCTGAAGAGGTTTTATTCTGTTCGAGCTTGATGTGCTGATACACCCGTAGAAAAGAAAAATCCCAAATAAGGTCTTTTTAAAAGTATATTCCAGGTTCTGCACAAGTTAGGATCATCAACAGCATTTGTGGTGTAATATATGATAACCACTTATGATTGGCAATTTTGATGACCACTAATGAATGGAGCCAGGAGAATTTTTAATTTAATTTTATAAAAGCACTTACATGCATGCCTCTCTTAAAAATGTGTTGTTTAAATCATTTTTTCAGTCATTTTAAATTTTGATGACCACTTATGAATGTTTGATTACGACTTATGCCGAGTCTCTTACATTGGAAGTGATTGGAGCCAGTTTCTGGAGAATTTTAAAAGCGAAATTCTTAAAGTTTATAATTTTATAAAAGTACTTACATGCATGCTT